CGGTTCACCAATAAATTGGCTACGTCCACGGGAAGAGAGGGAGCAGTTTTATTATGGAGAGGCAAAAACAGAATTACAGAATAAGGTTTCCCATAACGTCTATATATAGTGCTAAGCTACGCCCTAACAGGCCCGTCCATTCTGTTTGTAGCGGGTCCGATTCAAGGCATTCAACACATATCACTAGGAAGGACTTTTAACCATTTACCCAGATCTAAATGCTGCAAATCATTTGTTGAAATAATGCTTCAAGATTGTTGAACTAGGACCTAGCAAGTCCGGTTTATAGGAATGCAAACTATGTGTAACAAAAAACTTTAACAATTGAATCATTTTTAACTTGTGGAATGTTATGTAATTCTTGTTTTGCAGTGGATATATGGCTCCAGAGTATGCAATGCAGGGGAAAATGTCAGTCAAATCAGATGTTTTTAGCTTTGGAGTATTAGTCCTGGAAATTTTAGGTGGCCAAAGAAACACTAGTATCAGAAACGGAGAATATGTGGGAAACCTCCTAAGCTACGTAAGTAGTAATCAAGCCGATTAATCAGCTTTAAGTTTCAATTTCAAATTTGTAAGGGTCAGGTGCTTGTCAATTATTTTACAGTGTTAGTGTTGAAATTCTTAAATTTAACTGTCACAGGCTTGGAGGAATTGGCGCGAAGGAACAACATCAAATTTAGTAGATCCCATGTTGAGGGGAAGCTCGGGACTGGTTTCTGACATAACGAGATACATCCACATAGCCTTATTGTGCGTTCAGGAAAATGTTGCTGATAGACCAACTATGGCTGCAGTAGTTCTCATGCTCAGTAGTCTCTCTCTGGCTCTTTCAGTGCCTTCTAAGCCCGGATATTATATGCAAATTGATGTTAGCCCAAATATTTCACCTATTCAAGGATACAAATCAAGAGTAATATCAGAATCTAATCGACCAGACAAAAGTAAATCAATTTGCTTATCAAAAAATGAGATGTCCATAAGTGAGTTAGATCCAAGATGATAAGAGTTGGAGAGATTTTTCCTCTTCTGAATGTAGTTTAGTACTATATATTATATTTTATTTCTTCAAACCTTCATTTGTTTGAGAATGACAGATTATTTATGATTAAGGATTTAATATGGGGATATTCACAGAGACGTATACCATTAGCAACTCCTAATAAAAAAAGAACATGGTAACATGGTACTATTTCACTATAATAAAAATAATTTCATCATATTAGCTGATCACCTTACTAAATTAAGAAAATATTAATTTGGTTTTTCCCATAAATACCCTTGCAATTAATTATTTTTGAAAGTGCTCAGACTTGTTGTAAAGTTACAAAGAAGTTCTTAAGGGATAAATCAGTAAACCTATCCTCCTATTCAGTTAATCTGGGACTGAGGGAGTATTAACATTAAGAAAGTGGACATTGTTTGCGCTGCTTGGCAGCTTCCATTGTTAATTGCTTTGTCAATTTAATTTTAATCCCTTTTAAGAAGTTAATATGTTTTCTCTGAGATATGTACATGTCAAAATAGAAGAAAAATCATGGGGTGAAGTTTAAAATACAAGGAAACAGAGATAGATACAAATAAATTGAATTTTGTTTTCTGGAATCATATAATTCAAAGAAGAACAAGTAACAGCCAAAATTTCCTGTTCTTGCTGGCTTCTTCGCATCCACTCCTGTCCGTAAGTTAGAGTTGTAAATTCCAAAATTTAAAAAAAAAAAGACCAAGTCAAAAGTTGATGTCATCTTAGGTGACACGAAATTTTATTTGGAGTACATGGAAATTCAAACCTAAAGAAATTCAAAGTAGCTATCGCCCTATTTACTTCCATCATTTTCAATGCTTTAATTTTCTGCCTTTTATATTTTGAATTTTCCACTTGACATCATAGACGACTGAGTCAATCTTACAAAAATAAAGAGATTGTGAACACTTGAAAAATTGGAGTGATAACTTGTATTTATAGAGTCTCAAATACGCTAATTGAGATTATACTGGGCAAACAGATATGGGTTTCTTGAAATGGCTGATCGTTCTAATATTCCAATTCTACGTCACCGTAGCACAACCTAATTTCACTTTTCAATCGCCCTGTGAAGGTAATGTGACAGAGTACCCTCTAAATGGTACATACCACACAAACCTTAACACACTTCTCTCCTCTCTTTCACGTAACATAGACAGTGATGGCTTCTATAATGCTACCGTAGGCCAAGATCAGAACAGGGTTAGTGCCATCGCGCAATGTAGAGCAGATGTTGAACTACAAACATGCCGCAGCTGTATAAATAATGCTACTCGCTTGATTTTAGAGAAATGTCCTTCCAAGAAATCAGCCTTTGGCATTTATGATATGTGTCTCATAAGATATTCAAATGAGTCCTTCATAGGCACCATGTCCACCGACCCCCGATATACTTATTATTACAACAGGGATTTCTCGGACCCCAAATTGTTTTTCAACCAGTATCTGACACCTGTATTGACAAGCTTACGAACTCGAGCTTCAGCGGGTGGAAAGCACAAGTTTGCTGCTAATGTTTTCGATGCCCCTGATTTTCAGGAAATACATGCACTTGTACAGTGCACATCCGATTTATCAGCTCAAGGCTGCTACGATTGTTTAAGTGCTGTCTATTCAAGTTTACCTGACTGTGAATGTTATGCAAAGAGAGGAAACTATCATTTGATGCCCAGCTGCGTTGTTCGGTATGAACCTTACTCATTCTTCAATGAATCATTATTGACTGAAGCTCCGCCACCCTTATTGTCACCTCCGGAGCCAGCCTTATTGCCACCACCACCAGCAGGTATTTGAAATCTTTGTGGAATTATCTTGTTAGTCACTTCGTTTTGTATTCGGCTTCAGGCCGGGGACATGTTCAAGTTCAACATCTTTAGGTCCAGATTATAGAGTAATTAGCATGAGTAACTTAATAGTGGACTATAAACGTTAGTTCTATACTCTGTTGTGCTTGTTATACTAATTTGAAGCATTTTTGTAGGAAAGGATGACAAAACCGCACAAACTGTCATCATTATTCTTGTACCCATTGTCACAATTGTTATTCTTATTGGTTGTATTTCTGTTATCTTGATGAGGAGGCGAAAGAGGAAGTTGGTGACCAGAAGAGAGAGTAAGTGTGGTTTATTAACCTGCAATGATCAAGGAAAATTGAATTTTACTTAGAAGACCATTTTTCACTAATTTGTTCTTTGCTATTGCATCTAGTTGTTGAAGGTCTATCTATGGAAGATGATAGTATTGCAGAATCTTTGCAATATGATTTTTCAGCAATTAGTGCAGCAACGGATAACTTCTTAGATGCTAATAAGTTGGGGCAAGGTGGATTTGGTCCTGTGTACAAGGTGAGAGTTATTTAGGTTGTAACGACTCTTTAAACTGTCAGTGTATACAAATGAGGACCGTGTTGCATAACAACCTCGTTGAAGGAACAATACTACTTAGTTATAATTCATAACCTTTCAACTTGTTCTCATATTATGTTTCAGGGTAAGCTTCCAAATGGACAAGAAGTAGCAGTGAAAAGATTGTCAATAGATTCAAGCCAAGGAGATCTAGAATTCAAAAACGAGGTCTTATTGGTGGCCAGGCTTGAACACAGGAATTTGGTTAGGTTACTCGGATTTTGCTTTGATGGAACAGAGAGACTTCTCGTCTATGAATTTGTTCCCAATGCAAGCCTTGACCACTTTTTATTTGGTAGGTATTGTTGTACATTTATTTTACTTGATAGTGTAATTCTTCTATATATACTGTCCAAATATAGAAGTTAAATCTTTTATAAGTGCTCTAGGTTTAACATTTGTCCAATGGGAACACAGATCCAGTTAAACGCAGGGAACTGGATTGGGAAAGGAGATCCAAAATCATTGGAGGCGTTGCTCGGGGGATCCTTTATCTTCATGAGGATTCTAGGCTTCGGATCATTCATCGTGATCTCAAAGCTAGTAATGTTCTACTAGATGCAGAAATGAATCCTAAAATCGCTGACTTTGGCATGGCAAGGTTATTTGCAATGGATGAATCTCAAGGAATCACAAACAATATTGCTGGGACGTAGTAAGTTTTATATCTCACATTAGATAGATTGTTCATAAATACCCAATTTGCAGCACAACATTTCACCACTGTACCTCCTAATTCTATTAGAAAATGTCTTATAACGGAATATGTAGTTCTGGCTTTTAACATCAAGTAGTTCCCTGTTGTGACAGGTTATTCAGTTATGCTGATCCCACTATTTGCACTACCAAACCCCAGAAATGAGTTTTTTTTAGCCTTTTTACCTTACGTCTGTTGAAGAAAAAACAAAATCTATACGCCGAACAAAAAATTAAACAACTGAATCATATCTAAGTTGCCAAATGTTATGTAATTGCTGTTTTGGCTTTGCAGTGGATATATGGCTCCAGAGTATGCAATGCAGGGGAAAATGTCAGTCAAATCAGATGTTTTTAGCTTTGGAGTCTTAGTCCTGGAAATTTTAGGTGGCCAAAGAAACACTTGTTTCAGAAATGGAGAATATGTGGGCAACCTCCTAAGCTACGTAAGTAGTAATCAAGCCGATTAATCAGCTTTAAGTTTCAATTTCAAATTTGTAAGGGTCAGGTGCTTGTCAATTATTTTACAGTGTTAGTGTTGAAATTCTTAAATTTAACTGTCACAGGCTTGGAGGAATTGGCGCGAAGGAACAACATCAAATCTAGTAGATCCCATGTTGAGGGGAAGCTCGGGACTGGTTTCTGACATAACGAGATGCATCCACATAGCCTTATTGTGCGTTCAGGAAAATGTTGCTGATAGACCAACTATGGCTGCAGTAGTTCTCATGCTCAGTAGTCTCTCTCTGGCTCTTCCAGTGCCTTCAAAGCCCGGATATTATATGCAAATTGATGTTAGCCCAAATATTTCACCTATTCAAGGATACAAATCAAGAGTAATATCAGAATCTAATCGACCAGACAAAAATAAATCAATTTGCTTATCAAAAAATGAGATGTCCATAAGTGAGTTAGATCCAAGATGATAGGAGTTGGACAGTTTTTCCCTTTTGTGAATGTAGTTAAGTAGTATCTATTATATGTTATTTCTTCAAACCTTCATTTGTTTGAATATTTTATTTTAATAGTTCAAAATACATATTTTTGTCATTTTAATGAAATTTGTTCATAATTATCCTCTTTCTCAAAGTATTAGAATTTTTATTGATTCTTATATTTAAATTATTTTGTCACAATCAGACCTTCAAATATTTGTTTATTTTTATAAAATCATTATTTCTGTTAAATTGCATTTTTTTATATGTAATTGATTACGTTTATTATATTTTTTCATATTTATTTTTTTTCTGTTACATTATTAATATTCATTTTGATAGTCTATGCAATCTAAAAAATCATTAAATTCGAATACAATTTACACACACATATATTTTACTATTAATGATAATTTTTGGTCACGAACCTCAAGCCATAACTTGATTCATAGTTTTCAAGTCCCTATATATGAAATAATTGGTCCATTTGATTTTTTGTGGTATTAATTTTAGAATTTGGGGGTTCAATTTTCAAATTTTTTCTGTAGTTTATTATCTTTCTCCGGCAAACTTTTGCCGGAACTCCAACCAGTCACCACCACAATGATACCACACTGGTTGACCCACCCCTCTTCTCTTTTTTTCTCGTTTCACTGCCTATTCTTTTCTCCAAGAACACAACCATACCACCAAACCCCCTTTGCGATTTTTTCTCTCTTCCGACCAAAACCCCGGCCAGAACCTCGGCTGGAACAACCCCAAATCGCCACCAAATTTCGAACCAGTGAATAACAACAACAATGACCATGAATTTCAGCATGGTTTTGCAACTCAACAACCAGCGGAAATGACCTTTCAGACCACCCAAAACCACCAAAAGCACATCACATCGCATCACCGCAGACCGCCAGATCAATGGAAAAACCCCACCCTCGTTTCCTCTTTTATTTGCTGCAACGAGTCACACCGACAAGGGGCTCAAAGTTCCGATGAATCGAAGCTAAACAATGAACCAAACTCGGTGCCTCTCCTCTCCCCTCTCCCCTTTCACGATTCTCCTCCATTTTGCACGTATTTCATCAAAACTATGGTGGGCGACATCTCCTTCACCCTCCCCATCTTCCTCAACAACAACTACGCCGGAATTCAACCAAATCCACCTGAAATTCGCTGCCTCTCCCAGCAACAACTGAGCAGCGAGCTCCATCTCCGATTTCTGCTGGAGAAAAGGTAAAATTGTTTTGTCTCTGTTAACCATGACTACCTTGCTATTGTTCCATTTTTACCGTATATTGTTTCAAATGTTTCAACCATTTTCGTTTTATTTTTGGTTTGGTGTGATTTGTTATATATCATACTTAGTTGTGATTAACTTTTTTTTTATGTCTAAATTATGTGTCTTCCGTCTTTGTTTATATACTTTATTCGGTTAATTTTTATATTGCTAATGGGTGTTATGATTATATGACCTTATTTGTTTTCTTCGATTGTTAAGTTTCTTATTTATTATTATTATTATGGTTAGTTATCTGTATTATGAGTTTGACAATTTGTTCTGTTGCTTTCTACTTTCAATTATCATCAACGTTATTTTTCTCCTTTAATTGATTACCACTAACTTATTTGGCTTATTTTTCATCAAACATTTTTGTTAATATTGTCACTGTTATGTTATTATTGTATCTTTCTTATTTGCTATATTTAGTGTGTTACTTTTTCTATTTCTTTTATGACTTTGTGTGATTATTTTATTAATTTAGCCTTTATTCTTAATTTATTTTAGTTAGTCTAAGAGCAATATTTAATGTCCAGCAGTGGTGTTAGTTAGTATTATTATAATTACAATTTTGTTATGCCGTTATCATTTGGTTATTGCATTTTCCTTTAAATTGATTTGCATTAGTTTAATGACTTTTTTTATAAGTTGAGAATGGTCAATGAAAATTTTCTCCGTCGGATTTCGAGGCATTCTTATTTTAAAAGACGGAAATTTAATTTAAGTTCATATATTTTTATTTGTTAAATTGGCCGATGAAGAAATTACCGTCGATTTCCAAGGTCTTCCATGTTAATAAGACGGATTTTTATTTTTAAGTTAGTATTTCATATATTCAATTTTATTCATATTTATTTATTACTTACACTTCTACTAAGTGTGTTTATAGGTATCCCAAGACTTGCTTCGTTGAAGCTATTCGAAAGGAGTTCGAATTATATTTTTCAATTCATTATTTTATATATATTGATGTTAGGCAAATCTTAGGCTGATATTACTATTTTATTTTATTATGTATATTGCATCTTTATTATATTTGTACATTATTTTATTCTCCTCCTCAATTTAAAAAAGAATGAACTAAGTCGAGAACCACAATTATAAATTTTGAAGGGTGTCTAACCCCTTCCCTTCGGAATAAACTTAAACCTTTTATCTAGAAATCAAATTGGTTTCGTATATTATCTTTTAGATTATTAATTGGTTTTCTAGTTTTCTTAAAAATTAGGTGGCGATTCCTTTAATTCTTTTAAACTCATTTTACCCCTTTTAACTCTTTTTATCCGTTTTAAAATTCTTTTAAACTAAATTTTTTTTTAATTGAGTCATCGCGCTGCTCCCATTCAAAGGATGTCAACACATGGTACTATTTCACCATATTAAAAAAAATTGTCTCATATTAGTTGATCGCCTTACTAAATTAAATTAAGAAAATATTTTTATTGATTTTTTCCCATAATATCCTTGCCATAAATTATTTTTAGAAGTGTTCAGACGTGTTTGTAAAGTTTCAAAGAAGTTCTTTAAGGGAATAAATTGACAAAACTATCCTCTTATTCATGATTTCTTAATGTACGGGTAAAAAGGAAACTGATGGGAGTGAGAGAGTATTAACATTAAGAAAGTGAACATTGTTTGCGTTGCTTGACAGCTTCCATTGTTAATTGCTTTGTCAATTCAATTTTAATCCCTTTTAACAAGTTAATATGTTTTCTCTGAGATACGTACATGTCAAAATAACATGGAGTGAAGTTTGAAATACAAGGAAAAAGAAATAGATACAAATAAGTTGGATTTCGTTTTCTAGAATCAGATAATTCAAAGAGAACAAGTACCAGATTAAATTTCCCGTTCTTGCTGGCTCCAAAATTAAAAAAAAAAGTTGATAGAATTTCATACTAAACGGCTTAGTCAATCTCCCAAAAAGTAAAGAGATTGTGTACACTCGAAACACTGAAGTCATAACTTGTATTTATAGTCTCTCAAACACGCTAATGAAGATTGGGCAAACAGCTATGGGTTTGTTGAAATGGCTGATCATTCTAATATTCCAATTCTACCTCACCATAGCACAGCTTAATTTCACTTTTCAATCGTACCCTCCAAATGGTACATACCGCACAAACCTTCTCTCCTCTCTTTCGCGTAACATACACAGTGATGGCTTCTATACTAATATCATTGCAGTTATGTAACTAACTAGTTACACTTATTACAGGGTTCTGGCCGCTTCCACTATCTTCTACAAAAACGTACGAGGAGAAAACGAAAATATAATACAAGGATCAGTTCAATCATATTCAAAGAAGAACAATTAGGCCCAAAATTTCTAACCTTGTTGCCTTGTTCTCGTCCACTCCTTAGTCCAATAAGAGTTGTTAGAACTCCATAAATTCTAAGTCAATTCCAAACCAAATCAAATGCTGATGTGCCACCCTTGCAACAGATCGAGATCATTTTTATATTCATATACTCAAGTCTACCAGTACTTTACTAGGCACATTTCAAAATGAAAGTAATAATTTATACCAAATTTAGATATATTTTTATTACTTTTCTCAATTACGGTTATATAATAGAGAAGATACGTATGAATGTTCTATACTTTTTTTTTCCTGGATATTCTTTATTTTTAATATGATTATGATGTTATTTAGTTTTACCAAGCATGATTAATAATTATATTATATTCATATAAAAGTATATTTTATGTACTTGTGCACTAATTTTGAAGAAGTTTAATGCATGGTAAAGGTATAACGTCCGACTCTTTAGTTCTTCATAATTAGGTATTTCACCCTTGAGCCTTATTACATGCACTATTTAAAAAAATCAAAGGTATTCATCTTACTAATAGATTGAATTATTAAAAACTGGCCATTCATTGTGTTCACTTAAATTTCTTAAAATAATGAGTGCTTGAAGGGTTAAATGAACTCAATATCTAATGGATATTTCAGTCACTTCAAGGCTTTGCGGTTATTAAATAAATAACGATGATATGATTTTATATGTATATCTTTACATATTTTTGTATCAAGTACAAGCCGTGTAGATTTTTCTATGAGATAGCTAATTCTAGAAGTTAAAATTCATCCCAGTGTATATATTGTTTCTCTATCCCTAATTACTTGTATACTTTGGAATTGACATATTTATTGAATAAGAAAATAATTATTGATATAATGAGTTTACCATTTTACCCTTATTAATTATAAAATAAATGTATTAAAAACGAAAGGTAAAAAATTTTAATATTTTATTCAAAGTAATTAATTGAGAATATAATAGTTAAAAGAATTATTTTTTTATTTGTCAAAAAAAAATTATTAATGAAAACTATAAAAAGAAAAAATTGAGAAGTAAGTAAATAGGGAGAGAAAGTATAAAATTGTAAAAAGAAAAGAAAAGATTAAAAAAACGTGTAAATAAGTGGAAATTTCCCACCATTTCGATGTGTTGTCTAAAAGTCAAACTTGTCATCGTCGGCCAAAGAGAACACCTAAGTCAAGAGTTGATTGACTTCCTATTTATAACGTCAAAACATTTCTAGCCTAACTCATTTCCATATCATCTAAAAATTAAAGTGATACGTAGCTCAATTTAATCCAGTAAAAAAATTATAAATATAAAAAGATATTTTATATAATAACCAAAGGTAAATGAATTTTTTTTTACATATATTGAATTATAATTTATGACACATTTTTTACCTACGACCCAACTCTTTATTAACTCATCAGTACAATTTGTTTTGACACCCCTACTATAAGCACGGATCAATTGCAGCCAAACATTCTATCAAACCTTATTTAAAGTATCTTAGTTCTGATTAAGCTTACCTTCCATGGCAAATCAACAGAA